CACCGTTGCCTGCCCGCACTCATCCCCCACCCCCTCGCCACTGTCATCTGTGTCTATGAATTATGCATATATGTTCTTTGGCTAATCCCTTCACCTTCTCTCATAAAAAAGGAAAGGTTTTTTTAAACTTTTATTTATTTTTAGCAGATGGTGAATCCAGAAATTTAAGTGATTGGAAACAAAATCTGGAGGCATATGCAAATAATGGTCAAAAGCAAACACTTTGCCTCTTAATGCGCCTTCTAAACTGTAGAATAATGAATGAAGGGAAATGAGGGAGTATGTCCTTAGCCATAGTATTTTACCTAAAGAAATACTATTAAAATGTTTAAATCCATTCTTTCCTTCCCAAGACTTAATGTTCCAAGTAAACCAAAAAGTGATGTATCTGTTTTTGTGTTCCAGGCTCCACACTAATCACTGTTTTAAAATCAGTGTTTTTAAGACTGCTTAGAGTTGCTGCCGATAAAAACGCTGCATCATGAAGGTAGTCAGCATCTGAGCAACGTCCCCTCTGAAGCCCTGCTATTCCCCACCCAGACCTCTTGAAGCACATTAAATGCAAAATAGTTTGGGCATGCTATTTTCTATGCTGACATAACACAGCATTTCTTACTTTGGAAAAAAATCCTGTGCAGATGGCTCAAGAAACCAGAGCTTTTCCCTGAGATTAGAAACTACCATATCTTCATTAAAGACTGTAGATACATTGCCCAATGTCTGTGTTTTTTATGTGCCAATCAACAAATAGAAAAGGGAGTCAGGAAAGGCCAAAATAAACTTTTCTTTTTTTTTTTTCTCCTGATCTCAAAGAATAATCTGAAAACCCAGGTTTGTGAGAGTAAAGCAAAGCGATGGTGTGTGGATACAACTTCTCACTGTTAGCATTTTTAGATGAAGTCAGGCCGAAAGGTACAGCTTGACTACATCTAAAAGCAGCTTAATGACAGAGGTGGCCCTTTTCAATATCTGTAATCCAAAGCTTTTTAGGTTAGCAATTAATATTTTACTTTCTAGATAGGTGGTAAAATGGTTGTTTACCAAGTCTTAAGACATTTTTCAAGGTAGGGTGATGAGAACTGAGTGCAAGATGAGAGGGTGTTTGAGGCAAAAGGACTTGGAGCAAAGACTTAAAGAAGATGGGGGAGTTAGCCACGTATCTGGAAGAGAATCCCAGATATAGGGAACAGCCAGTACAAACGCCCTGAGGTGGGGGGATAGCTGGCATGTCGGAGGAACAGAAAAGATCACATAATAGCTTGAGCAGAGAGACAAAGGGGTACCAAGTAGGAAATAAGATCAGAGAGACAGCAAATGAATGACAGCAGATTTTGCAAATGAAGGCATTAATACATTTTTTGAGAATTTAGATTGTTTCCACATAGTATATTATGTTTCATCTCATACCTGATAGTAATGTTTCCTTATTATCCTCCTGACAATCAATTTCCTACTGAAAGTAATTTCATATTCTATGTGATCGGTATAATTGTATGATTCCATTCAATTTAACATTCTCTATGTCTAAATTCCAGTGTGTGGCTGATAATGAATGTGATTTAAAAAATAAAGCAAGCATTCAATTATTTAGTCAATTTGAACTACATTATGAAAAAAATGCTTTGTGCTCAATCATGGGTAAGATAACATTGATTTAAAATATTTACGTTGTCAAAATAAGACACATTATTTATAAATCTAAGACATTCCTCCAAGAATTGAATATTTAAGTATGACAATGCCATAGACTTTTTTAGAATATCATCACATTATACTAACAAGAAATATCTTTTAAAAATATGAACCACATCTTCTAGAATAAGTCTAGGATTTGATAAATGCCACAATAGATGTATTTTCCAAAGGAACACTGTTCCTACATTGTTACTTAAACCCATCTCTCTACTGCAGCAATTTTCAACCTTTTTCATCTTGTGGCACACATAAACTAATTACTAAAATTCTGCAACACAGCAAAAAATATATTTTTTGCCCATCTGACAAAAAATAGAGATATTTTGATTCACTCATACCAGATGACTCTTGTTGTGTTGGCTGTTGTCATTTTGTTATTTGACATCTAAGGGAAAAGAAGTCAGTGCCCCGACTAAATAGTCAGCTATTGCATGTTTTAAAAATTCTTGTGGCATACCATTTGAAAATTGCTGCTCTATTGTATCAGGATGATTCTACTGAAATAGGCATTGTTATTGTAAAACTGAAAAAGAATAAAGATGTGCATGGTGATATCTGTCGTATAGAAACCAGAACAGCTCTACAATTAGGAACAATCGATATGGTATGCTTATGGTGAAAAGCAAGTTGGCCCTGAGGTTATATGCAGCACCATTAAATTGGAAAGGCCATAGAACACTTACATAAGTGGGAATATAAATATAGCTGAAACAAGTTGATCATATCAGCTACTCAACAAATTTTTATTTATCTCTAATTTATCTCAAATTTTTAAATATCTCTAGTAGCTGGAACTATAATAATGAATAAAATAGTCATGGAAATTATACCATAGTGAGAGGAGATAAACACTACACAACTCGCTATACAAACACACAAATAAATTGCTTAATTACAATTGTCATAAATCTCCACTTGAAAGAAAGTTCCATGTGCTCAGAACTTTGAAGTCACACATCATAGTGCCAGCATGGTGAACAATGTCTAGCATATAGTAAGCACTCAACAAATAAGAACTGTTTATTTGTTGACTCAATGAATTATGTGAAAGAGAAGTATGTGATGACAAATGAGTACAAAGTAGAAGTCCTAACCAAATCTAGGGGCTCCGTTGTGATGGTGAAGCTGAAATCTGGAAAATGAATAGGAAAAAGGAGATGAAGGAAGAGTAGGGGAGAATAGGAAGAAAATAAAGAGAAAAATGCATGGTAGCAAGCCCTGAAGAGAGAAATTTGGTGCTTCCTAAGGAATTGAAAGTAGCCCAGGAAGGGGAGAGGGTTAGGGACAGGAGAGGGTAATTGAGAGACACAGAATCAAAGGCCAGATAATAGACAGCCTTGGAAACTTTAATGGAAGAATTGAAACTTTATCCTAACAGCAATAGAAAGCCCCTGAAGAATTTTCAATGGAGACATGATATACTCAGATGTATGTTTTAAGTGATGATAATGACACTATAAAGTAACAAATTCTAGGATTCTGTAGTTCTTTGAACACTGGATTTAGCATTAAAAAAAATCTGAACATAAACTCCTGAATTTGACTTGGATATAAAGAAAGACTTTTGATGGGAATAATTTTAAGAATTAGGAGTAGGTTGTCAATAGATGTGAATTTTGATTCATTGTGGTAGGTTTTATATCATACATGCATACTTCTGATGTTTTGATCCAAAACATTAATAAATAATCAAGTTAAAATTGATACCATGAGAAATCCTGAACTCATTTAGAGCAACTCGGTATTGTTTTAATGCTTGAATTGTCTTCCCCTTGGACTTCCATTCACTCCCATCACTATGTATTTACCAATCTTACATGGGATGTCATTTCTCCTAATGAAAGGAATTGGAAGCAAATATAAGTTAAGATATAAACATTTCTCTTTCTTCCTTACAATGTTATACTTTAAACAATCTGTATCTGTATTAGTCAGGGTTCTCCAGAGAAACAGAGCCAACAAGATATGTATATAAAGAGAGAGAGATGTATTTTAATGAATCAGCTCACACAATTGAGGAGGCTTTGTAAATCCAAAACCTGTAAGATAGACTAGCAGGTTGAAGACCCAAAGAAAAGCTGTAGCTCCAATCCAGGCAGACAGCTGACAGAATTCCTTCTTGCTTTGGGAGAGGTTAGTTTTTGTTCTATTAAATCCTTCGACTGATTAGATGAAACCCATCCCCATTATGTAGAGGAATCTGCTTTACTCAAAGACCATCAATTTAAATGTTAATCTCATTCAGAAAACACCCTTATAGAAATATTCAGAATAATGTTTGACCAAATATCTAGACACCGTAATGAGGCTGACATATAAAACTAACAATTACAGAAGCTAACTCTTTTTCATCTTTTTCTTACAATGAAAATAGCTAAAAATCTAGCCTATATGAAGCCTGGACTTTTGTTTTGATAATATGTCCTTTTATAGCAAGCAGTCTGTTATATATAAAACCATGATCACGTGTGTGTGTAAGTAGATAGTCATGATAAAATATAACCAATTAATTTTTGTTACTGTACATAAGTACAGCATTTTAACCACATACCTCAAGTGTAATATTTCCACATACCTCAAGTGTAATATTTAACCACATACCTCAAGTGTAATTTTACATAAGTACATTTTACATAAGTACATAAGTTACTATACATAAGTACAGCATTTTAACCACATACCTCAAGTGTAATATTTAACCACATATCTCAAGTGTAAGTGAAGTGTCCACATCACTAACCAATTATTTTCTCTACCAAGAAAAAAAATGAATGGTGGGGAAAGTTGGAACACAACTATGATTTTTGAGATGAGCTTTACTGAAAATTTCAAAATCTAGATGTAACTTCAAGTATGGATACATCTGTGTTCCTTAATTTATTCATATATTTTAGAAATTCCATTTTTTATAATTTAAATTGTTAAATTGACATTTAAATTCCAATGTTACTTCTTCAAATGACTTCACAAGACTGTCAAAACAAATATGTATATAAATAAGATGTCTAAGCATTAAATTTCAGTTCAATGTAATATTTATGATAAAATTCTACTAGAATAAAAATAATGCCAAGATGTCTATGGAAATTAGATTTTGATACTAGTATTTTGGTTTTATACTTTTATGAATCTGGGTTCTTTAAAATATGGTTTTCTTTCTTGTTTACCCACTTATAATAAATAGAAATAATTTATTTTGAGACTTGACGAGATTTTTAAGATGTTTTTGAGTCTTGCTGATAATTCCTTTTTTGTATGAAATTTCCTGGGGTTTTTCTTAACATGTTTAAACTTCCTCTCTTTAGGTTTGGATGTGTGGAGGAGAAATGTTCGATGTCCCATGCTCTAGAGTTGGTCATATCTACAGGAAGTACGTCCCTTATAAAGTTCCATCTGGGACCAGTCTGGCAAGAGTGAGTAACTGGGGATTTGAGCAAGCTGGGCTTGATAAGGCTTTTTGTTGGTAGAGAAAGCTGCCTCGCCCATGGTATAATTAAGACACAGTCTGACAGAAACACCTCACTAAAATACAACTTCCACCACTTGCCATTCCATTTGGCAGGCTTTAGTGTATAGAGAGTTTCTTTGTTTCTCAGCATTTTATTGCCATTCCTTAAGGATGTATTAGCTGTAATGCTAATTCTTGTTAACCATTTCAAAGCACTTGCACATACCATCTATTTAATCTTCACCATTACTTTCTGAGGTTGGTATTCTTATATTTATTTTGTAGATGAGAAAACTGAGGCTTAATGAAGTGGCTTGTTCCCGCTCACATGAAAGATAAATAGCAGAGCAGGGTTTAAGCTCGAGCCTTTGGAGCGAAGGTCCAGTACTTGCCTCCTCCCACCTGGAGCAGAACAGGAAACATCATAAGTCAGAGAGAGAAAGGGGTAGATCAGAGATGGAGAAAAGTGAATGCCCAACTCTGCCTTCTCACTTGTAACTGGGATCAGCTCTGCCTAAAGTTTTACCCCAGCCTCAAACCTCCAAAATTGGCCAAGTCCAATTTTTTTTTCAGGTATCGTTTTGAAAAATCCTTTCTCTTAGATCAAAGGCAAGGATGATTTTCTCTTCAGCCTTTCTGAATGTCTCCATACATGTTTGAGAGGACATAGTCACAAGGCCTTCTCAAAACAGTCCTGACCCTTTCTGTTTTCCATGTTACCTTCTTCCTGGCTGAATTCGTTTTACTCACCATGGTATGTACCTGCTACGGCTCAGATGCCAAATCTACAAAGTGGTGTTTTACCAGACCTCTTTGCACAATGCTGCCCTAGTAATCAAATTCTGAATTATTCACGTTGGTTCCTTTACTAGTTAGGGTGTAATATATAATTATCTGAGCCTTTTATATAAAGCTCAATAAGCTCACATAACAAGCTCTTTAAAAATATAAGCTAGCTCATCAGGATTCATTAGAATATCAACCATATAAAGGCAGAGCTTTTTCTCTGCGTTTTTTGCTACAGCGGTCCCCCCTTATCTGTGGTTTCACTTTCTGATGTTTCAGTTACTCATGGTCAACCATAGTTCTAAAATATTAAATAGGAAATTCCAAAAACAATTTATAAGTTTTAAATTGTTCATTATTCTAAGTAGTGTGATGAAAATTTTTCCACACTGTATATGCTACCCCCCCTCCACCCCCCTCCAACCCCCACCACCCTCAACACCCCACCCTGGGTTATTCGCCTGGTAGCTGTCTTGGTTACCCGGTCTGCTAGTACAGTATCAGTGCTTGTGTTCAGTAGCCATCAGTTTACTTAATAATGGCACCAAACTGCAGTTTGGGTGTGCCAAAGAAAAACCATAAAGGGTATGTACAATAGAAAAAAAAAAAATATATATATATATATATATATAGGGTTCCATACCATCCACGATTTTGGACATCCACTGGGGATCTTGGAAATATCCCCCATGAATAAAGGGGACTATTGTACTATACTCCCAGCACCTAGAACAAGGCTTGGTAGACACTCAACAAATATTTGTTGACAGAATTAATCAGGAAAAATTACAACTGGAAAATGCTTATTAAAACTTAAACATTTAATGCAAATAAAATTTACATTTATTATGAGTGTTTTGGGGGAAGTAGGATTTTTCCTTATGTCCGTTCTGAGATTATTTATCAGCAGTGTCTATTTTTCTTTAGCCACATCCATAATCTCTTTTACAGCAGTTTGAGTTAACAATAGTGAAGTTACATTACATACTCCTCAAAGGGAAAAAGTTGTATTATTCTCCCCCCTCAAAATATTAACAAGACATTAACAATATACTCCATTAAGTAGCTGTAGAAATATATTATTTAAAGAAAAGGATCCAATCACAAAATTATAAGATGATTAAAGAGCTGTATTTTGGGTAAGAAAATATAATTTAGTTTAGTCAGAAGATCTGACACACATGAATGTGAAAACTCATTCAGGAAAACAACAAGAATTCATAAAAAGGTTAACAGTTGAACAGCCTTGAGCACATATCACAAATCAACCATGTAAATTATATCATAAATCATAGCAGTTAAAAATGTCCCAAAGATAATGATGTTCTATCACTTATCCCTTTCGCTCTCTCATATCTCCTCCAGCTTGCACCCAGACTGAACCTTCATTTGCAACATGGACAGTGTGTGCTTGGCTTACAGTCGAAAGTAGAGTAAAACTGAGGGGCCTGGTGGGGGCGGGGGGAAGTTGTGCTCGTCCAAAGGGCTTATTTTCAAGTAATAAACTGCTCATATATTTTCAGGAAAAAAAATAAGTACATTTTCAAAGACTGTCAAATATAGGGAAACTAGGGCTGACACATAAAATTTCCAGCCAAAAGCAAGCATTCATTCAAATAAAAAGTCCGTAATTCTGAATTTTAATCTTTTCCACTTAAATTTTACTTGAGGACTCATTTTTTTCCCTAAATAGCTACAGTAATCAGGAAGTCATAAATATTGAAGCTCAGCTGTCACTCTAAGGAAACTTTTATGATTTTTTTTAAATTAAAAAGTACATGAAAATGAAAAACAATTCTGATATTTTGTGGGAAAATTTCAGCTACCAGATGTACCCTACATGATTACTAAATCATCAAAAATGATGAGAAACTTTAAAGATACTTCAAATCCAGGGCCATGTATACCTAAGACATAGATCATCTTTCCAGCCTCATTAGGAAATGGAGGCAAAGATGAAGAATGAACTCCAAAAACTGATTTTCTTATTTTACAAAGCTCTTTTAATTCTTCAAAACTGTGCACCTTTCATTTATGTACCTATGTAAATTGAGGATTTCAGCAGAATTCTAAAACATGCAAACACACACATAAACACACATGTGTGTGAACAGCTGACAGTCCTCTAAACAACCTACCAGGATGTATCATAAAAATAAATTCAAATAATTAGTTATTCAGTACCCTCTACTTATCTAGCATTACAGTCTGGTTGGAAGAGAAGATATTCACACGTGAAGCCATTAGAGGACAATACAAGATGATAAATAATTGTTTAACTGTATTATAAAGATATGCATATGTATAGGGAAGAGGAGGGGAAAGGGTATCATAGTTGATGATTTGAAAGAGGACCTTCAACAAGGTTCGTACAGTAGTGGTTTCCAAACACATATCCCATGACCAGAGCCGATTCCTGGCCCACTTTTCATCCACTGAAAACTGGATGAAAAACTGGATTCGAAATGGAAAAATTACAAATCATAAAGCTAAATCTATTCAATGTAATAACATCTTTTTAATGTAATGATTATAGGCATTTTGTGTTTTATGAAAGAATACGAGATAGTAGATTTTTATTAATGTCCTATCTGGCAAAAAGAAAATTAATATCCTTATGTCAATTACCACAAAACACAAAATTCTGAGACGTGATGGGTGACTTACACTTCACCTTCATCTGGGAATCAGAGTATTCACCATCATGAATAAAACTCCCTGTTTTACTGTGTCAGCTCGGGGCCCCGTGTCAGTAATGGGCACAGGCAAGGCATCTTATCACCAGGAACAAACAGCCAGGCCTGAGGGAAGGGGCATTCATCTTCTGAGTGGTAGGGAGACTAGAAAGTCCCCAGGACTGTAGTGACAGTCATCTCTTCTTTGGGATGGACTGACTGCCCTCCCTTCATCACAGAAGAGTGAGCAGCTCCTCATTAAATGGCACACTGAGCTGTTTGCTGAGTGACACCTTGCAAAGCCAGAGGTGGCTGAGTGACAGGTGGGTGGAAGCCTCTTCATTTCACAGGTTGTGGCATGAATCAAGTACTCTACCGCAAGAGCAGCAGTTACTGACACCTCACGGGCTCCCCTGTGAATCCCATTGTCTGGGGACAATTAAAGCCATTGGACTGGAAACAGGTGGCTCTCCTAGCAGGGACATGACAGAGGTGCAGAGCAGTCACCCCATGGCTAACCATACCAGCTAACTGTAGTACGTCACCGGACCCCATGGGAGCAACTTGGCCAAGGGGAGTTTCCCCAGGAGGGCCTGGTGGCAGCAGAGGACAGCCCTACAGACTGAGCGGGGCGGTCCTGGAAGCTCACACAGCTGTCTTCCCCAGCTCCAAGGGGAGGGAGGACTGCATGGGAGACAAAACTGGACCCAACTCTCACCCAAACCTGTAAGGGACACCAGAGAATGCGAATCGGGGGACTGACTATGTTGTCCTGTATTTTGCCACTGACACCAAATGTGGTATTGATAACATTTTATTTTCTAAAATTTCATCTTGCATTTTATGGCAACTGTTACCCAAGTTTCAGGATAAGAACTATAAAACCAAGGAAGTGAAACCCTTTAAGAATTCAGTTGTACAGGATGGCCCAGAGTACTTGAAAATGTAACTCACTTTAAAAGGCATAGAGGTTAAATGTTAAGTGAGTAGAGCTGGAATTGTAAATTGAGGCCTGGCTGTCCAAGGCTCAACCCGCCCGCCGTATTTTTCCTTATAGGAAGGTCTGGAATAAACAGGAGTAGCTGGGGCGTCATGGCAGGGCCTCCAGCATGAGCCAAGTTCCCGATAAGAAGGAGAAGGCACCAAGGTCACAGAGGATTGTGCTGGCAACCTCTGGAGTTAAACTGGACTGTGCACTGGAGACCCGCGCTGGAGAACCCTGTATGCAAACTGAGGCCTACACCCTTTTCTAATAGCATGTAGTGAGGTACTCATGGGTTTTGAATAGGAAGTGCTGGGATAAAAATAGAGAGGGTAAAATGGAAAGATCAACCAAGTAAATACTAAATGGGAGAGAGACTAAATTAAGTAACATTTTGAATGCAAGAAACATTTGTAAACAAAACTTCCCAGAACATTTGTATTGACTCCTCATGTTTTGCAGGGAGAAAGATGTCAAATGTGACTAATGAGGTTTTCATTGCAGTGTCTGAATAAATACTAT